AACATGGGAGCAGCCAATTATATAAGGCAATTAATAACAAAAGCAAAGAAACGCATTGACAAAAATACAATCGTAGTAGGGGACTTTAACACCCCCCTGACTGAAATGGACAGATCATCTAAGCAAAAGATCAACAAGGAAATAAAGACTGTAAATGACACACAGGACCAAATGGACTTCACAGACATATCAGAACATTCCATCCCAAAGCAATGGAATACACATTCTTCTCTAGTGCCCATGGAACATTCTCCAGAATTGATCACATCCTAGGTCACAAATCAGGTCTCAACCAGTACCAAAAGATTGGGATCATTTCCTGCATATTTTCAGACCACAATGCTTTGAAACTAGAACTCAATCACAAGAGGAAAGTCGGAAAGAACTCAAATACATGGAGGCTAAAGAGCATCCTACTAAAGAATGAATGGGTCAACCAGGAAATTAAAGAAGAATTAAAAAAATTCATGGAAACCAATGAAAATGAAAACACAACTGTTCCAAATCTTTGGGATGCAGCAAAGGCAGTCCTGAGAGGAAAGTATATAGCAATATAAGCCTTTCTCAAGAAACAAGAAAGGTCTCAAATACACAACCGAACCCTACACCTAAAGGAGCTAGAGAAAAAACAGCAACTAAAGCCTAAACCCAGCAGAAGAAGAGAAATAATAAAGATCAGAGCAGAAATCAATGAACTAGAAACCAAAAGAACAGTAGAACAGACCCACGAAACTAGGAGCTGGTTCTTTGAAAGAATTAACAAGATTGATAAACCCCTGGCCAGACTGATCCAAAAGAAAAGAGAAATGACCCAAATCCACAAAATCATGAATGCAAGAGGAGAGATCACAACCAACACCAAAGAAATACAAACAATTATAAGAGCATATTATGAGCAACTCTATGCCAGCAAATTAGATAACCTGGAAGAAATGGGTGCATGCCTAGAGATGTATCAAATACCAAAACTGAACCAGGAAGAAATAGAAAACCTGAACAGACCTATAACCACTAAGGAAATTGAAGCAGTCATCAAAAATCTCCCAACAAACAAAAGCCCAGGGCCAGATGGCTTCCCAGGGGAATTCTATCAGACATTTAAAGAAGAATTAATACCTATTCTCCTGAAACTGTTCCAAAAAATAGAAATGGAAGGAAAACTTCCAAACTCATTTTATGAGGCCAGCATTACCTTGATCCCAAAACCAGACAAAGACCCCATCAAAAAGGAGAATTACAGACCAATATCCTTGATAAACATGGATGCAAAAATTCTCACCAAAATACTAGCCAATAGGATTCAACAGTATATTGAAAGGATTATTCACCACGACCAAGTGGGATTTATCCCTGGGCTGCAAGGTTGGTTCAACATCCGCCAATCAATCAACGTGATACAATACATTAATAAAAGAAAGAACAAGAATCATATGATCCTCTCAATAGATGCAGAAAAAGCATTTGACAAAGTACAGCATCCTTTCTTGATCAAAAGTCTTCAGAGTATACGGATAGAGGGTACATACCTCAATATCATAAAAGCCATCTACGAAAAACCTACAGCGAATATCATTCCCAATGGGGAAAAGCTGAGAGCTTTTCCCCTAAGGTCAGGAATGCGGCAGGGATGTCCACTCTCACCACTGCTATTCAACATAGTATTAGAAGTCCTAGCCACAGCAATCAGACAACAAAAAGAAATCAAAGGCATCCAAATCATCAAAGAGGAAGTCAAACTCTCACTCTTTGCAGATGATATGATACTGTATGTGGAAAACCCAAAAGACTCCACCCCAAAACTGCTAGAACTCATACAGAAATTCAGTAAAGTCGCGGGATATAAAATCAATGCACAGAAATCAGTGGCATTCCTATACACCAACAACAAGACAGAAGAGAGACAAATCAAGAGTCGATCCCATTTACAATTGCACCCAAAACCATAAGATACCTAGGAATAAATTTAACCAAAGAGGCAAAGGATCTGTACTCAGAAAACTATAAAATACTCAGGAAAGAAATTGAAGAAGACACAAAGAAATGGAAAAACGTTCCATGCTCATGGATTGGAAGAACAAACATTGTGAAGATGTCAATGCTACCTAGAGCAATCTACACATTCAATGCAATCCCCATCAAAATACCATCCACTTTTTTCAAAGAAATGGAACAAATAATCCTAAAATTTGTATGGAACCAGAAGAGATCCCGAATAGCCAGAGGAATCTTGACAAAGAAAAGCAAAGCTGGCGGTATCACAATTCCGGACTTCCAGCTCTATTGCAAAGCTGTCATCATCAAGACAGTATGGTACTGGCACAAAAACAGACACATAGATCAATGGAACAGAATCGAGAGCCCAGAAATGGACCCTCAACTCTATGGTCAACTCATCTTTGACAGAGCAGGAAAGAATGTCCAATGGAAATACGATAGTCTCTTCAACAAATGGTGTTGGGAAATTGGACAGCCACATGCAGAAGAATGAAACTGGACCATTTCCTTACACCACACACAAAAATAGACTCCAAATGGTTGAAAGACCAAATGTGAGACAGGAGTCCATCCAAATCCTAAAGGAGAACACAGGTAGCAACCTCTTTGACCTCAGCCGCAGCAACTTCTTCCTAGAAACATCGCCAAAGGCAAGGGAAGCAAGGGCAAAAATGAACTATTGTGATTTCATCAAGATAAATAGCTTTTGCATAGCGAAAGAAACAGTCCACAAAACCAAAAGACAACCGACAGAATGGGAGAAAATATTTGCAAACGATATATCAGATAAAGGGCTAGTATCCAAAATCTATAAAGAACTTCTCAAACTCAACACCCAAAGAACAAATTATGCAATCAAGAAATGGGCGGAAGACATGAACAGACATTTTTCCAAAGAAGACATCCAAATGGCCAACAGACACATGAAAAAGTGCTCAACATCGCTCGGCATCAGGGAAATCCAAATCAAAACCTCAATGAGATACCACCTCACACCAGTCAGAATGGCTAAAATTAACAAGTCAGGAACTGACAGATGTTGACGGGGATGCAGAGAAAGGGGAACGCTCCTACACTGTTGGTGGGAATGCAAGCTGGGGCAACCACTCTGGAAAACAGTATGGAGGTTCCTCAAACAGTTGAAAATAGAGCTACCATATGATCCAGCAATTGCAATACCGGGTATTTACCCCAAAGATACAAATGTAGGGACCCGAAGGGGTACGTGCACCCCAATGTTTATAGCAGCAATGTCCACAATAGCCAAACTGTGGAAAGAGCCAAGATGTCCATCGACAGATGAATGGATAAAGAAGAGGTGGTATATATACACAATGGAATATTATGCAGCCATCAAAAGGATTGAGATCTTGCCATTTGCAATGACGTGGATGGAACTGGAGGGTGTTATGCTGAGTGAAAGAAGTCAGTGAGAGAAAGACAGGTATCATATGACCTCACTGATATGAGGAATTCTTAATCTCAGGAAACAAACTGAAGGTTGCTGGAGTGGGGGTGGGGTGGGAGGGATGGGGTGGCTGGGTGATAGACATTGGGGAAGGTATGTGCTATGGTGAGTGCTGTGAATTGTGTAAGTTTGTTGAATCACAGACCTGTACCTCTGAAATAAATAATATATTTTATGTTAAAAAATAAAAAAAGAAGAAGATAGTAGGAAGGGAAAAATGAAGGGGTGGAAATTGGAGGGGGAGATGAACATGAGCGACTCGGACTCTGAGAAACAAACAGGGTTCTAGAGGGGAGGGGGTTGGGAGGATGGGTTAGCCTTGTGATGGGTATTAAAGAGGGCACGTATTGAATGGAGCACTGGGTGTTATACGCAAACAATGATTCATGGAACACTACAGCAAAAACTAATGATGTAATGTATGGTGATTAACATAACATAATGAAATAAAAATAAAAAATAAAATAAAAATTAAAAAAAGAGTCAGTATGGTTTGTCCTTGTTTTTATCTTATTTTATTTTTCCTTCCCTTCCCCTATGTTCATCTGTTTTATTTCTTAAATTACTCATATGTGTGAAATCATATGGCATTTTTTTTTTCTCTGACTGACTTATTATGCTTAGCATAATACCCTCTAGCTCCATCCATGTCGTTACCATTACTGCTGACTCTTGCCTTCTCCCCATCCTTCCTCAAGACAACATGGCTAGATTTGATTATGACAAGAAGGTGATTTGGTTAAATTACCTACCTTAGGCTCAGTTTGATCAATCCCTGTAAGGAAGAGCAGGTGGGCCAGGAAGAGGCAGATGGAAAGCTGCAGGTGGAGGGAAGTGCTGGTGTTCTGGATGGGTCGGCACAGGAGGAAGGTGAGGGCTGCCAGGAGGAGGCACAGCAGAGAGAGGCTCAGCCCCACATGGGTGATCATGGTCAACACAGGATCCACCTATGAGCCACCAAGTGAAGAATTCATTATAGTTTCCAGTTCTGCAGTTATGTTTCTGATGGAGAGTCTGACGGGCTTCCAAGTTCAGTCCCTTAAACTACTGACTTAACCTCTCTGAGATTTGATGTTCTCATCTTCAAAATGGGTGCACTAATAGCATTCACCACACAAGGCTATTAAAAACCAAAACCACTAGCCTGGTGTTGTCCAAAAGAAATATGTGAGCCACATGTGGATTTTAAAATTTTCTAGTAGCCATATCTTTTAAAATGTGAAAAGAATCAGGTCAAATTAATTTAATAGTATATGTTCAAAATATTATCAGTCCAATGTATTGAATATAATATAATCAATACAATAAAAATGCAATCAGTTCAAATTACAATCAATGTAAAACAATTATTAATGAGATATTTGATACTTTTTTCCATATTAAGCCCTTGAAATCCAGGGTGTATTTTATACTTACAACACATCCGAATTCAGATGCTTTTATTTTCAATGATAAAAGTGAAATGAAATCCTATGAATGAAGTGGTATTTAATGGAAAAATATTTCACACTGCTTCTTAGTTTAAATAAATTAAAATTAAATAAAATAAAAAAGTTGGTTCTCAGCCACACTAGCCACGTTTCAAGTGCCCAATAGCCATATGTGGCTGGTAATCCTATTGGACAACATAGCTCTCCAAAGTCATCTCCATGAAGGTTGGAATTTCTTTATCTGTTTTGTTCTCTGCTGTATCCTCAGTGCCTAGAGCATCTGGCATATAGTAGGCAGTCATATGCAAATTTGTTGAATGAATAAAATGAGGCCAATGCATTTAAATGTGTAATGTAATGATTGTCATACAGTAAATGTTCAGTAATTGAGAGCTTAAAAGAAATAGGGGAAGAAGTTAGGTAAATTTCTTTAAATCTGGCTGATCCTAGATGTGGTTGGGATCTGGGAAGTTCAAGGACCTATACTTTTTCATTGGAGACAGTCAGTTGCCTTCTTTCCCATCTGACCAATTGTAACTGTCTCTTGCAGAGTAACGGGTGTTTGATTCCAGATCATCTTAGATCCCGCAACTATAGGGGCTGACAACCCAACTTTCCAATGTTTGAGAGCTTTCTCTGCTAGCTTGAGCTTACTCTGCCCATGCCCGTGGACATGCCAGAATTAACGACCCCCACCCCCATGCAGCTTTCAACCAATGCCTGAGAGGAGGTGGTCTATAGATAGCCTAGCTCTCTTGCAGTTCAGTTAGGATGACTCAGATGCATCTCCTACACTGATTCCCAGAGTACCCTAGAGAGAATTAAATTCCAGATGCCCAAAGTAATGAGTGGCTTGATAATGCTCTCTGCATTAACTTTTGTTTTTTCTTGTTTCATTTGCCAGCCCCTTATTGGTGCTTCCTGGAATTACCTCTCAAGTAAACTACTTCCACTTGACTCCTTATCTCAGTCTTTTTTTAAGACATGGAGAGGACAATCTCACAGTTTGTTGGACACAATCAGATACCAGGAGGGGAGCATGAATCTTGGTACCTCGGGAACAAGAGCCATGAGGACAGCAAAGCTGGAAAGGTGGAAGCACTTGCATTTGGTATGTGAATCGTTGCTGCCCGCATGATAGCAGCCCTCTGTCGACCAGGTGCCCCCCTCCTCTGATCCTTTCCAGTAGACACAGAAATATTTTCTTCTTGCACCACCAGGCTGAAAAGAAAATAGCATGAAAGCGGGGCTTTTTCTGGTTTTATTATCTTAATTTTATAGGTTAGTCATGGATGCATTGCATTGGAAACTGGAATGGGAAAATCCCATTATCTAGAACACTTGTGGGGAAGAGTTTCATATGACCACACCTTCTGTGGGGTTTATTCTTCCTTTATTCTGCCCTTCTCTGGTCATCTCAGAGCCCCAGGGATTGACCCTTATGAACTGCTTTACCCAGGCTCCTTGTCACTGGGACAATGAATGAGAGGAACTGATGAGAAGTCCTTAGATGAGAGGAGGAGGAAGTCAGGTGTTTCTTCCAGACACTTCTGCTTCAGAATATCTCCATCTCCACCAGGGCAACCCTCCGGCATGTCTCCAGCTCTCACTGGGCTCAACAATGCTCATCCCTCCATTGCCTTTTTAGGCTTAAATGTGATAATAGCTTCCCCTGGTGGCAATCTCTGGGTGCCTCAACATTTCTTGTTGGTTCTGTTAACTCTGAATGAGCAGAGTTGGATTCAGTTTCTTGGCAGGACCCATCATAACACACCTCTTTGAGGTAATGCACAGAGAACCAGCTCTGGATTTTGCTCACCTGAATATGCTGGAAGGTCAGGAACACAGGTTCAGACAGATATACTTTTTTCTTTGTACTTATGGTGCCACTCACGACACGAGAGTTCAGTTTCATTTCCTGTGTCCCTCTTCCATCATTAAAAAAGGATCCATTCAGAATATCCCAAAGAGACTGGTAAGTGATAAGCGCAACTGCACTTCTGTCTGAAAAAACAGAAATCACTTTAGAGGACATCTGTATTATAGGAAATCAGTATGCTAGTGTCTTGTGTGAGAGTCATAAGGCAAATATTATGTATAGTCAAAATCGCCCTTGGAAATCCCTTATGTTGCTCCATCAACACATTATGTGTGGTTTGTATATGTAATACACATTATAGTGTACCACACATTATAAGAGATATAATGCAAAATATCCATTAATGAATTAAAAAAATATATATGAGCCCTTAGACATCAAAATCAGAGCCATGAGGCAAGATGTTTGTGCTCAAAAGAGCAGGTGGAACTGGCAGGATGAGGAAACCACACATTCCCATCTCCCATTTTTTAAATTAACTTAATTTAATTTTATATTTAATTTAATTTAATTTTGTTATGTTATGTCAGTCAACATACAATACATCATTAGTTTTTGATGTGGTGATCCACGATTCATTGTTTTCGTATAACACCCAGTGCTCCATGCAGTACGTGCCCTCCTTCATACCCATCACCGAGCTAACCCGTCCCCCCACCTGCTCCCCAAAACCCTCAGTCTGTTTCTCAGAGTCCATAGTCTCTCATGGTTTGTCTCCCCCTCTGATTCCCCCCTTCATTTTCCCCTTCCTTCTCCTAATGTCCTCCCTGCTATTCCTTACGTTCCACAAATAAGTGAAACCATATAATTGACTTTCTCTGCTTGACTTATTTCACTTAGCACAATCTCCTCCAGTCCCACCCACGTTGATGTAAAAGTTGGGTATTCATCCTTTCTGATGGCTGAGTAATATTCCATTGTATATATGGACCACATCTTCCTTATCCATTCATCTGTTGAAGGGCATCTCGGCTCTTTCCAGTTTGGCTATTGTGGACATTGCTGCTATGAACATTGGGGTGCATGTGGCCCTTCTTTTCACTACATCTGTGTCTTTGGGGTAAATACCCAGGAGTGCAATTGCTGGGTCATAGGGTAGCTCTATTTTTAACTTTTTGAGGAACCTCCACACTGTTTTCCAAAGTGGCTGTACCAACTTGCATTTCCACCAATAGTGTAAGAGGGTTCCCCTTTCTCCACAACCTCTCCAACATTTGTTGTTTCTTTCCCTGTCCATTTTTGCCTTTCTAATGGGTGTAAGGTGGTATCTCAATGTGCTTTTGATTTCCCTGATGGCTAATGATAATGAACATTTTTTCATGTGTCTGTTAGCCATTTGTATGTCTTCTTCAGAGAAATGTCCATTCATGTCTTCTGCCCATTTTTTGACTTGATTATTTGTTTTTTGGGTGTTGAGTTTGAGAAGTTCTTTATAGATCTTGGATACCAGCTCTTTATCTGTAGTGTCATTTGCAAATATCTTCTCCCATTCTGTGGGTTGCCTCTTGTTTTGTTGACTGTTTCTTTTGCTGTGCAGAAGCTTTTTATCTTGATGAAATCCCAAAAGTTCATTTTTGCTTTTGTTTTGCTATCTTTTGGAGATGTATCTTGAAAGAAGTTGCTGTAGCCGATGTCAAAGAAGTTATTGCCTATGTTCTCTTCTAGGATTTTTCAAAGTGCTGGAACAAACAATCCTAAAATTTGTACAGAATCAGAAAAGACCCCAAATCACCAAGGAAATGTTGAAAAAGAAAAACAAAGCTGGGGGCATCACGTTGCCCGATTTCAAGCTATATTACAAACCAGTGATCACCAAGACAGCATGGTACTGGCACAAAAACAGACATATAGACAAATGGAACAGAATAGAGAGCCCAGATATGGACCTTCAACTCTATGGTCAAATAATCTTCAACAAAGCAGGAAAAAATATGTAATGGAAAAAAGACAGTCTCTTCAATAAATGGTGCTGGGAAAATTGGACAGCCACATGCAGAAGAATGAAACTGGACCATTCTCTAACACCATACACCAAGATAAACTCAAAATGGATGAAAGACCTCAATGTGAGACAGGAACCCATCTTCCATTTCAAGCTCACTCTGGGGCATCTAATTTAGAAAGGTATGGAAAGGTATGCAGGATGACACATTCTTTTAATTTATTCTATCATTCTCCTTCCCTCTCTCTGTCTTTCTCTGTTTCTCTCCCTCCTAACCTCTTTCCCTCCCCTTCTCATGCAAGAATGATTTAATTCACAGAAGGTAAATTCACATAGGATGCTCTATAGCATGGTGTAGTATTTCTTAAACTACAATTATTCATGGGCCACCATCCCAGTTTTAGCCAAAGCCACTTTCCACCTATATTATTATTTACTCCATTTTAAAAACCAACTCATTTGTAGATCTTTTCCCTCTGCCTTCTCCATCTGACAGCTCACAATAAGGAGTGAAGATTAATCAGTAGTTGGAAATTTTCTGGAGAAAATACAGCAGTTATTTCACTCTCTCCAGAGTACCAGGTCTTTCTTTTTGGGATATTTTTCATGCACTCTTTCATTAATGTATTTATTCACTCTTTCATCAAATATTTATTGGGCATCTAGTGTGTGCCAGACAGTGTTCTAAGCATGCAATACAACAGTGAAGAAAACAGGCCAACTTCTTGCCGTCAGAGAGCTGATATTATAGTGGGGGAGATGGACAACAAATAAATTAAGAAAAATTGCATAGTGTACATGCTGTACAGAAATTTAAATGAGATGGTGGAATAAAGCAGGGGTGGCAAACTATGGCCTGAGAATCAAATCCAGCCTACCACCTGTTTTTGTAATATAAAGTTTTATTGGCGCACAGTCATGCCCCTTCATTTACAAATCATCTAGGGCTGCTCTCCCACTACAATGTCAGAGTTGAGTAGTTATAACAAAGATCATCTGGCCCAACATGCACACCAATGTTCCTAGCAGCAATGTCCACAATAGCCAAATTGTGGAAAAGGCTGAGGTGCCCTTCAACAGATGAATGAATAAAGAAGATGTGGTCCATATATACGATGGAATATTACTCAGCCATCAGAAAGGATGAATACCCAACTTTTGCATCAACATGGATGGGACTGAAGGAGATTATGTTAAGTGAAATAAGCCAAGCAGAGAAAGTCAATTATCATATGGTTTCACTTATTTGTGGAACATAAGGAATAGCATGGAAGGCATTAGGAGAAGGAAGGGGAAAATGAAGAGGGGGGATCAGAGAGGGAGACGAACCATGAGAGACTATGGACTCTAAGAAACAAACTGAGGCTTTTAGAGGGGAGGAGGGTGGGGAGATGGATTAGCCCAGTGATAGGTATTAAGGAGGGCACGTATTGCATGGAGCACTGGGTGTTATACGCAAACAATGAATTATGGAACACTACATCAAAAACTAATGATGTACTGTATGGTGACAAACATAAAAAAAAAAAGATCACCTGGCCCAAGCAAGGCAAGGGAAACAAAAGCAAGAATAAACTATAAACTATTGGGACTTCTTCAAAATAAAAAGCTTCTGCACAGCGAAGGAAACAATCAACAAAACTAAAAGGCAAACTTTGGAATGGGAGAAGATATTTGCAAATGACATATCTGATAAAGGGTTAGTTTTATAAAGAACTTATAAAACACAACATCCAGAAAACAAATAATCCAGTTGAAAAATGGGCAGAAGACATGAATAGACATTTTTCCAAAGAAGATATACAGATGACTAACAGACACATGAAAAGATGTTCAACATCACTCATCATCAGGGAAATACAAATCAAAACCATGATGAGATATCACCTCACATCTGTCAGAATGGCTAAAATTAACACAGGAAACAACAGATCTTGGTAAGGATGCGGAGAAAGAGGAAACCTCTTACACTTTTGGTGGGAATGCAAACTGGTGCAGCCACTGTGGAAAACAGTATGGAGCTTCCTCAAAAAGTTAAAAAATGAACTACCCTATGATCCAGCAATTGCACTACTATGTATTTACCCAAAGGATATAAAAATACTGATTCGAAGGGATACAAACATAGCAGCATTATCAACATTAGTCAAACTATGGAAAGAGCCCAAATGTCCATCAACTGATGAATGGATAAAGATGTAAGATGTGGGATGGATTATACATTTATAATGGAATATTACTTAGCCATAAAAAAGAATGAAATCTTACCTTTTGCAATGACATGGATGGAGCTAGAGTGTATTATGCTAAATGAAATAAGTCTGTCAGGGAAAGACAAATACCATATGATTTCACTCACATGTGGAATTTAAGAAACAAAACAGATGAACATAGGGGAAAAAAGAAAAAAGAAGGGCAAACATAAAACAGACTCTTAACTATAGAGAACAAACTGAGGGTTCCTGGAGGGAAGGTGGGTGGAAGGATGGGTTAAATGGGTGGTGGGTATTAAGGAGGGCACTTGTGATGAGCACTAGGTGTTGTATGTAAGTGATGAACCACTAACATCTATACCTGAAACTAATATTACACTGTATGTTAACTAACTGGAATCTAAATAAGAACTTCAGAAAAAAATTACTATCTGGTCCTTTCAGAGAAAAAGTTTGCCAACTCATAGGACAGAGAAAGGCTAGGGACTATTTTAAATAGAGCAATCATAAAACACTTCTCAAGGGAAATAGTGTTCAAGACAATCATCTACCACTTTCAAGTGCTGCCTTTTCAGACCATCACATGGACAGAGAGCATGCATCAGCCTGTTCCTTTTAAGGAAGCATGCCAAGGGATCCTTGTTTGAACCTCAGCATGTCACAAAGTACCCACTAACTGTGTCCCCCAAATTGCCTGGTTAGTGGAACCCATGTAGAGTCCCCCATGCCTTGAAGGCTTTTTAAGTTGGCCCAGTCACCTAGAAATGAGACAACAATGCCTAGGATTTGGAAGTCAGGAGAATCCATCTCAAACACAGTACCTCCTATGGTTCCTTTGAAAGCACCAGTACAGTCGATATCCATGGTGTTATTTCCAGCTTCCAGAACAGTCTTCTCACTTGTCTCATTGCACCTCTTGATTTCATAGACTGGAAACATTAAGAAAGTGAGTCCTGCTTTGCTCGCTTCTCATGCGTAAGGAATTTGTTGAAGAACTCTCTTCTTTGGAAGGCCCCCTACTGGTGATTTCCTTTTCTGTATGCAAGGTAGACCAGATGGCATTCCCTTCCACATCTCTTGCTGATGGGGATGAGATGGTCAAAATGGTCTAAGCAGCATCCACTGGCCACAGCAACCCAGGAGAAGAGAGGGGATGGCCATGTTTCCTGGAGCTGCAACCAGGGTGGGCAAGCTCAGCCTTTACATATAATATTTAAAGATAAAAACATTTTAAATAATGTATACTGGAGTAACTGGTGAGGGGGTAACTAAGTTTTTAAGCAAGAGAAGCTAAACATTTAAAAGTTTTCCAAGGATAGTCACCTGGGAGCAGGTCTGCATTTGGGAAGAACCCCTTGAATGAATTCTCCATATCACATAAACATATAAACACAAGGTCTGACAAAGATCACCCTCATAAAATGTTTTGGTCATAAGGAAAGTGCTCTATGTTTCTTACCTATACCAAGTGTAGAATTATCATGCTTTCCTGGAGAAGCTAAATCTTCAGTCCATATGATCACTTCCATCTTTTGAAATATTTGGGTAGCCATTTTTGCAATGTGCTCTTTGCTTCCGTTGTTCCTCAGAATTTCCTTTCAAAGAAATAAAGCTAATTAGGTAGGCTCTTCCTGAAACTTGAGAAAGCAGGAATATACTTGTGTGTGGTTGGGTGAGCCCTGAAGGCAATAACATTGATTAAGGTGTAGATTCTGCAATCTCGACCTGATATGTATCTTCTCATTGACCACACACAGCCTTGTGAAAGGTGTATCATTCACTCCATTGTATTTATGAGAACACGAGGGCCTAAAGGATGACATGTCTGGAACCCATGAAGAGTGCCTTACAGAGAAAGACAGGGGATGGGAAGTGGTGACAGAGGTTGAGTGAAGCTCTAGATTTTTGATGCCAGTTTTTGAACAACAGCTGAGGCACTAAAAACCTTGCCAACGTTTCTCAGTGTCTATTGACATTTGAGACCGGATAATGTAGGAGGCTGTCCTTGGGCATAACTAAATGTTTAGCAGCATCCTTGGTCTCTACCCACTAGATGCCAGTAGCACCCTAGTTGTGACAACCAAAAAATGTCCCCAGGCATTGCCAGATGTCCCCTGGGAGAATGGACAAATCATTCCTGCGTGAGAGCTGGTGTGTCCTAAAAGGCAGAGGGAGCCATCGTACTTATTTGAGCAGGGGAATAACATAGCAAGACTGGCCAACTGTCTCTCAGACCTAGGCTTCACTTCACTCACCTGAATATTCCCTGAGACTGGTGTCTCCTCACTGGCAGCCTCTGGGAAAGAAAAGTAGCCATTGAGTGGAATGTGGGAGGTAACACACCTGGCCCACATTCCTTTCCAATCACTATTGAGTTGAGTCTTTCTCTGATGCTTCCCATCCTTGCCCAAGTTCCCTCCAAGAAGTCCAAAATGTCTTCTACAGTAGAAATTTAAAAGGGGATTAGGGTGGGGCCTCCAGTTCAATAATTAAGTCAATAGTATTTATTGCACACCTACTAAAAGCCAGGAACAATACTAAACCTTATGGAAGTAAATTGACAAAGAAACAAAGGGTCTTCCCTTGTGGGGTTTGCAGTCTGGTGGGAGAGTCACTAGGTAAATAATGACAAATAAATAATTAAGTGATTACAAGCGTCCCACCTGTTTTTAATATATAGGATAAGATACCTTGGGAGCACACAGAGAAATCCTAGAATATGGAGTGTGCAGAGGAGGCTTCCTGAAGGAGTGGGTGTTAACTGGGTTAATAATACAGAAGCAGTAATAATACCTGCAATTGTCTACACAACATGGCATATAAAGTGCCTTAATACACACGATCTCATGTAAAGAAAGAGAGAAGGTTCTAGAACAGGGTTATGTAGCTTAATAGCTAATATTTATTGAGTCTTTCTAGGTGGCTAGCACTGCACTGAATATTTTACATATCTTAATAATCAAAATGGGTAGGTGAGGTGTATTAGATTCTTAAGGCTGCTGTAACAAAGTGCCACAAACTGGGTGGCTTTAAAACAATAGAAACTTATTTTCTCATGGTTCTGAAGGCTAAAAGTCCAAAATCAAGGTTATTGGTAGGACCACACTCCCTCTGAAGGCTCTAAGGAAGATCCTTCTTTGCTTCTCCTAGTTTCTGGTGGTTGCAAGCAATCTTTGGTGTCCCTTGGGTGGTGGCAGCAGAACCCCAGCCTCTGTGTCTGTCCTTGCATGTCCCTCTGTATGTGTGTGTGTCTCTACACCCAATTCCCCTCTTCTTATAAGGACACCAGTCATATTGGATTGAGGGCCCACCCTCATCTGGTATGACCACCTCTTGATTTTATTAAATCTGCAAAGACTTTCTTTCCAAATAAGATCATATTCCATCATATTCCCAGGTTTCAGATGTACGTGAATTTGGGGAGATTCTATTCTACCCAGTACATGAAGTAAGTAGGTTTCTAAAGTGACTCTCAGTGATCCTTGCCACTTGGAACCCTCCTCCCCCTGACCAGACCCAGTGACTCACTGCTAATGAATAGAACACAGCAAAAGTGATAGGATGTCACTGCTGAGACTGGGTTATAAAAGACTACAACTTCTATTTTGTTCACACTCTCTCTGGATATTCTCATGTGCTCACTACAACAAAGCAAGCTGGAGAGGCTGACATATTTAAGAACTGAGGGCAGCCTCTCACCAACCACCAGAAAGGAACTGAGGCCTTCAGTCCAGTAGCTTTGAAAGAACTGAATCCTTCCAGCAACCACGTGAGTGAGCTTGGAGGCAGATCTGCCCTAGATGAGCCTTCAGATGAGACTGCATCCCCACCCAACACTTTGACTGTAGCTGTGAGAAACCCTGGAGCGGAGAATGTAGGGAAATTACACGTAAATTCCTGGCCTACAGAGACTGTGAGACAATATTGTTGCTTTAAGCCACTACCGTTGGGGTAATTTGTTATTCAGCAATACATAACTCATACGGTAGATGCTATTATTGTTTCCACTTACAGGTGAGGCATATAGAAGTTAGGTCATTACCCATCCAAAAGTCAGCTGGTAAGTGGTAGAGCCAGAAGTTAAGTCCAAACTATTGAACTCAAAACATGGAATTATACTAGGAATGAGCAAATAAGTAAACATGCTGTGGTCATTGAGAACCAGGTTTTCAATGCCACAGAAGCAGCCACAAATAAGAAAAGAGGGAAGGCTAGAAAGAGCCCTGGTGTTGGATGGGAATCTGAGTATCAGTGTGAACTCATAGGGTTTAGTATATAGACAGATAAATAGATGTAGAAATTGAATTTAAAGTGAGAGAGGGAGAAACAAGTAGGGAAGTCCAGCGGAAAATCTGAGATGTCATTTTGGAAGAACAGGAAATAGACCCAGACAGGAGACATACTCTTGCAAGGCAGCCACATAAGGACGGTGATTGGTGCTGGAGGCTTGAGTGGTGCCTTCTGGGAAAAGATTACCAGGGACAATAGTAGGATGCAGGACCAGGGCCAGGACAGATTTCTACTCTTTTACCCTGGCCTGAAATCAATGAAGCTCTCAAAGTCTCCCCCCACCACTCTTTCTTCATTGTCGAGAGTATTTGGAAATCCTTACCATAACATGCTTTATTATCTAATTTAATGAACCGAGCCAGCCAGTTGAAGATATGATTTGAGAAACAGCTGCAGTAGTAACTTCCAATTTCATTTCTGCAGTATGCTTCCTTCTTGCACTTTGCCAGCCCAACCCTACACTCATCAATATCTGCAAATCAAGAGAAAACATCATGTTTCATTCTCATCAAACTATACCATCTTCCCTTGCACAGGGAGTCTCAAGTACCCACCATCATTCATAAGCATCTGTTCTTGGATAAGATGACTCAATATCATAAAGGTGATAGTTCTCCTCCAGTGAATTTATAAATCCAATACAATCCTAGTGAAAAACATCTAGCTGGACTTTAAGGAGTAAGACAGTGGATACAAGCATGTAAGAATAGCCATAAAAACTCTGCAGTGGGGACTCATATTATTAGACACTGAAACACACTTTAAAGCCTCAATAAAATGAATGCTGGCACATGAATTGACAAAGAGTCTAGTGAAATAGACTCAAAGTCCAGAAATAGACCCAAGTACATATGGAGCTTTAGAGTATGATGGTGGTATGTCAAACCACTGAAGGAAGGACCAATAGTTCTTTCAATACCTAGATCACACGGTTTAATCAATTTAAAACACACAGCAAGTAGCAAGGAAAGAGATAGGGCAGGTGCATATACCCTTAGGAAATGGTAGAAGTGAGGCAAAAGGCTCCCACCATCTAAGTCCTGGCATGTGCAATATTCATGTGTCTGCATCTATCTGCCACATCTCTCTGGTGGACCAGAGTTGAGGTTCAAGCAAAGGGACCCACAGACAGAAGTTACCCTGAGCCAATGACTCACACTTATTCTATCTGTTGGAAGGACTCAGGACAAGTACATTTAACCAATAGTTGCAACTTGCCTATTAGTCTATGAGTTATATCAGGCTATGGGTGTGTGTTTGGGTAGAGGGTTATATGGGCCAGAATAGTTATCATCAATGAGTGACTGAATTAAGACCTCATAAATCTTAAGTGCTTTGTATGTTTTGTTTATATTGTGTATCTTGGGCATTAAATGCCTCTTATTTATTTAATTTGCCATGAGCATTTAGAACCTATGTGCCTTGTGTATATTTATTGCTTCATGAATATTACTGTTGGTCTCTCCATTCTATTCTATGTTTAACACACATATGCTCTACCCACCAACTACTTACCTATTTTAACACATCTTATGAATTTCATATATCCCATTGGAGTTTCTTTCTTCTGCAGCAAAACCAAATAGTCTCAAACAGTATAACAAATGCACATTACACTTCTGCACACTTCCCTTCTCTAGAATAGAGTTCCCCTTTATCCTGGTTCAGGATGGATTTTTTAATAAGATAAAATGAGACCCAGATATCACACACTCCTTAAGAATAAACTCTACACTAATAAATCATTGAACACTACATCAAAAATCAATGATGTACTGTGTTGACTAATTGAACATAATCATAATAAAAAAAGAATAAACTCTACATATATCAGAGATCTAAATGTAAAAAACATATATCAGAGATCTAAATGTAAAAATGGAGCCATACAGGTACTAGAATTAAACAGAGATGAATTCTTTGATCTCAGTGTAGGGAAAAACATTTTATTTTTATTTTTTATTTTTTAGAGAGCATGGGAGGGGAGGGGCCAATGGAGAGGGAGAAAGAATCCCAAGCTGGCTCCATGCCCCAGCACAGAGCCCAGGGTGGGGCTCGATCCCATGACCCCGAGATCACAACCTGAGCCCAAATCAAAAGTCAGACCCTCTACCGATAAGCCACCAAGATGCCCCAGGGAAAACATTTAATGATGACTTAAGCACCTTGATAAATTTACCTACATAAAAAAATTTTTTAATTAGTTGCATGGCTAAAAATCATATACAAGCAAAGTCTAAAGAAAACTGACAGGGAGGAAATATTCTCAATGTATACTACTAACAAGGGACAAAAATTTCTAACATATAAAGAAATCAAAAATTGGGAGGAAAAGAAATACTCAATAAAAAAAATAGGGAAAAGACATGAACAGACAATTCAGAAAGAAGATATAAAAATGATCCTCTAATATAAAATGTTCAAAATTGTTCATAATTAGGGATGCCTGGCTGGCTCAGTCAGAGGAACATGCAACTCTTGATCAGGGTCATGAGTTCAAGCCCCATGTTGGGTGAACAGATTACCTAAAAAAATTTGTTCATAATTAGAGAAAATCATGAAAAATCTACTGATATACCATTTCTCACCTAGCAGACTGGCGATGCGTTCTGACAACATGTTCTGTAGGCAAGACTGTGGAGAGACAGGTGCTTTCATGCATTGCTGGTGAGAATGCCAATTAGTACAACTTTTCTGGAATTAAATTTGGGATAGCTAATCAAGCTACATATGGATTTACCTTTTAACTCAGGCACCTCACCTCCAGGACTTTAAAGACACATCTCCCACAAATACTGGAAAAAGCCTAAGGATTCAAGTAAAATGTCCCTATGCAGAAGAGGTTTGAATAAACTATGGTTCACCCACACAGGTACATAAAAGAATGAGGGAAGATCTCTACATGATTTGGAATAATTTCTGGGATATGCTGTTAAGTGAAAAAAGCAAAGTGCAAAAGGGCATCTCTGGTGTCCTTTCAAAGGTGTCTAAGTCAGAGAAGACCAGAAAATACTGAGGATCCATCACAGATTGCCAGCTCAGGAGCATGGCAACTAAATGGGATCCTGAAATAGTTCTTGAAGCAGAAAACAAAAAGGGGCATTGGGGAAAAAAACTGGTGGAACTGGAAAAAAAGTCTGTTGTTTTTTAACATCCTTATATCAATATTAATTCCCTAGTTTTCATCATTGTAGTATAGCCGTGTTTTTGGTGAACCTTAGGGGAACTGGGTGAAGGGGTAATAGAGAATTTCCTAAACTCTTTTAAAAAGTTTTAAAAACGGATACATCCAATGTTGTATGATTCCACTTATAGGAGGTCCCTAAAGGAGTCAAATTAACAGAGACAGAGGGTAGATGGTGGGAGGCGGGGGCCAGGGGAGGGAGAATGGGGAGTTAATGATTAGTGGGGACAGAGTTTCAGTTTTGCAAGATAAAATTAAAAATAGTTACGATGATAAATTTTGTTGTGTATATTTTACCACAATTGAAAAAAAATAATCCAAGTAAATGAATAATCCAATATTGTCTGATTCCACTCACAGGAGGTCCCTAGAGGAATCATATCCACAGACACAGAGAGTAGATGGGGGAGCAAGAGGTGGGGCAGGGGGTGGGCAGGCAGCGCTTCATGGGGACAGAGTCTCAGTTTGGGGAAATTTCTGGAGACAGACGGTGGGGATGATGGCAAAACAATGTGAGTGTGCCTGATGCCACTGGGCTGTACACAAAAATGGTTAAATTGGTAAATTTTACATTATCTATATTTTACCACGATAAAATAAAATAAATCCTAAGTAGTTTACCATGGTCCAATTTGCCTTCTGAATTTACAAAACTCCACCAATTAGATATTCAGGAGTGTTTTTTCTTTTTGGCAGTCAAATGGATCTTTAGAATTTGTGGAAATGAGAAAGGATTTTGGCTGGAGCAGAAGGGAGTAGTGAAAAGGGAAACTGGATCTGAGTTGGAATACTCAGATCATGGAAGATATTGAGTGTCAAGATCTGAGTCGGGCCTGATCATGGAAGATGTTTGAGTGTCAAGATAGTGAGTTATTCATTTGTTCTCTTGGGCAACACTTTTTTACTGGGCCTCTGTTATGTGACATATTCTCTGTCCTTGGCTTACAGTAATGCACAAAACAGACATGGTCCCCCCTCTTGTGGGATTCTCAGACAGACAAACAAAAACTGGTGCTTGAAACTCCAAGGGTCCTACCTTCCTCTAAAGAAAGACACTGTTGGTGGGAATGCAAGTTGGCACAGCCACTTTGGAAAACAGTATGGTGATTCCTCAAAAAGCTAAAAATAGAGCTACCCTATGACCCAGCAATTGCACTCCTGGGTATTTACCCCAAAGATACAGATGTAGTGAAAAGAAGGGGCACGTGCACCCCAATGTTCATAGCAGCAATGTCCGCAATAGCCAAACTGTGGAAAGAGCTGAGATGCCCTTCAACAGATGAATGGATAAAGAAGATGTGGTCCATATATACGATGGAATATTACTCAGCCATCAGAAAGGATGAATACCCAACTTTTACATCAACGTGGATGGGACTGGAGGAGATTATGCTAAGTGAAACAAGTCAAGCAGAGAAAGTCAATTATCATATGGTTTCACTTATTTGTGGAACATAGGGAATAGCAGGAAGGACATTAGGAGAAGGAAGGGAAAAATGAAGGGGGGATGGAATTGGAGGGAGAGATGAACCATGAGAGACTATGGACTCTGAGAAACAAACCGAGGGTGTTAGAGGGGAGGGGGGGGGTGTTAGCCCGGTGATGGGTGTTAAGGAGGACACGTACTGCATGGAGCACTGGGTGTTATAGGCAAACAATGGATCATGGATCACCACATCAAAAACTAATGTATATTGTATGGTGACTAACATAACATAATAAAAAATAAAGAAATAAATAATAAAAAAGAAAGAAAGAAAGACATCAAACCAGCTTCAGAAAAGCAAGGGGGACATAAAAGGGATAGGAACTCCTCTAAGGGCACTGAGACAGCTCTGACATGTTCTATCTTGTAGTACGACTGCATCTTTGCCTCACCAGCACCCCACACATGCCCCCACCCCATTCCAGATTTCAGGACGTCGTGGATTGAGTCTCTACCTTCACATTTCTCGTGGGGCTTGATGTACCTCCTCCCAGACGGAGACTGAAATCCATCTTTACAAGCACAGTGGGTGCTGTTGGAGCAGTTGGCATTTTCAGGGCATATGGGACAGAAAGCTGGAGGGAACACAGGATCCTTTCATTAATTTACTCATTCATTCAAGAAGGATTCCTTGAGCACTTATGATGTCCCAGATGCTGTAGTCAGAAGAATGTCCTTTTGGGAATAGCTCTGTTGTCCTCTACTGTGCACCCCTCCCACACCTGAACACAGATGCTTGCGTGCCTGCCCTACCCACATCCAGGCTCTGCCACCAACACCACTTCTGCTCAACAGTAGAACTTCTGGTCAGCATCTGTGTGTCTTTCCCTGAGGGCTTTCTCTGGCCACCAGAGTCCTCTGTGCTCACCACACGGTGGGTTAGCAATGGAGCAGTTCCCTCAATCGATGACTGACATGAGTCAGCATGTTAAAAAAAAAAAAGGCCTTTTTATTACCGGGGGGGGGGGGGGGGGAGAAAACAAGTATTGGCAAGATGTGGAGGAACTGTAACCCTATGCACTGCTGGTAAGGCATGTAAAATGGTGCAGCTGTTGTGGAAAACAGTTTGGCAAGTCTTAACAATTTTTTTAATTAGAAATACCATATACCACTTTTAAGTATATAGCCCAAAGAATTGAAAGCAGTGTTTTGAAGAGATATTTGCACACCCATGTTCATAACAGCATTATTCACGGTAGTCAAAACGTGGAAACACCCCGTGTCCCGCGACAGATGAATAAACAGAATGTGGTCCATCCATACAATGGAATATTAGTTAGCTTTAAGAAAGAAAGAAATTCCAACACCTGCCACCGCATGGGTGAACTCTGAAGACATTAGATACGTAAATAAAGCAGTCACAAAAGGACAACTACTGTTGGGTGCCAATTACAGGAGGCCGCTAGAGGAGTCCAAATTCCGAAAGACTTTCCAGACAGAAAGTCTTTAGGTGGATCCTGGGGCTAGTGGGAGGGGAAATGGGGAATTGCTGTTTCATGGGGGGAATGCCAGTCTGGCAAGAAGAAAAATGTTCTGGAGGTGGATGGTGGGGATGGGTATACAACAATGTGAATGTGCTTCATGCCACAGCTCTGTGCACTTAGAAATGATTACAATGGTGAATTTTATGTTATGTATATTTTACCACAAGTTTAAAAAGATAAATAAGAGGATAACAGCTTCCTTGTCCATGAAGGGGAATCATGCTGGAATGCTGGGGTACATGCTCCTTACTACGCTCCTCTCTCCCCTCATGTAATCGCTTGACAGTGGACCTTTACGTCTCCTCACCTTCCCGGTAATTTCCCACTCCCAGCTGGTACTTCCCAGAATCACCTCCCCGACAAATGACTTGCTGTCAGGTCCTTTTCTTAGGGTATGCTTCTGGGAGGTGGGGGAACCCAACCCAAGACATGGGGTAAAAATAAAAGTATCTCCTGCCATGACTTAGATACAGTCTCTGGGAAAGAAAGGGCAGAGTCTACCATCCATCAGCTGTGCAACCTTGAGCCAGCTACTTCCCTTGAGGGCTGTTGTTCAAGTGAGGATACTCTCCAGACCTTCTTTGCAGGAATGTCAGGACTGAATGGGATGTGTGTAGAATTTGCTAAGCATGGAGCCTGGTGCAAAGCAAGAGCTACATAAGTGGTGGGTGATGATGGAGAAGGGGGAGAAGTTCTTGGGAGCTGCAAGAAAAAGGCAGAAGGTGGCAGAGATTTATGTTGTCTCCCTTGAAAAGGGCAGCTTCCCTCCCCTCGAGGCAGGTTGCTGATCCTAATTTCCTTTCCCTGGCATTTGGTAATGAGTAAACTCACCTCCAGAATTCTTGGCATCTGATCCTGACAGAGCCAGCAGGACACTGAGACCTGGTACAGAGAGAGGGGGATAGTTCAGCTTGGCAGAAGCCCACAGGGGTTAGGGGCTTCGTCTCTGACTACCTGGGTATACATGTGCTAACTTCACTGCAGGTCCTTCCAGGCAGGCTACAAACACCAGAGTTATAGGGGACATCACATACTACTGAAGCATACCAGGGCCATCTGGTTGCAGCTGTAGGAGGGTCTGCACCCAATTTCAATGTGGGGGGCGGTCCAGGAGGGGTGTTCCCCACACCAACAATCAGTGCTCTGTCACCAGCTGGGTGTCCTACAATTCAACTGATTCCAACACCATCTACCCGGAGACTATCAGATCCCACAGGTTAAGGGTTTGCTCCCACAAGCCTGCCCCCCCCCCCACTTAGAAGCCGTGGAAAGCCTAGGTTGTCACCACGTCCTTGAGTTGCATTAATTTGCTAGAGCAACTCAGGACTCCAGAGAAACATTTCTGTTACTAGATTGCTGTTTTATTAGGAAAAGGTATCACTTGGGAACACCTGAGGGAGGTGAGGTATGGGGCAAGGTACAGGGGTAGGGCGCAGAACCTTCATGCCCTCTCTGGGTGGCTACTCTCCCCAGACCTCCAGCTTCACCCGCCCCAGCAGCCCAGCCTCTCCCGGCTTCAGGAGGCTATCTCACACAGCCAGGGTTGATTAGATCTTTCGCCCTTGGCTAGGGATTCACTCTCCAGCTCCTCTCCCCTCTCGTGAAATCAGGGGGTGGGGCTTAAAGATCCAACCTTCAAATCACATGATTGGCTCCTCCCCCAGGCCCTCCCCTAGCGCCCCTCCCACCCCCTGAGTTTCCCAAATCACCTCATTACCGTAATAGAAGACACCTTTATCACTCTGCCCTCAGGGGGGAAATGGGGAAATGCCAAGGATTATAAGAGCTCTGTGCCCCCTGGGTGGCTCAGTGGGTTAAATGGCTGCCTTTGGCTCAGGTCACGGTTCCCGGGGTCCTAGGATAGGGTCCTGGGATGGGGTCCTGCATCGGGCTCCCTGCTCAGTGGGTTGTCTGCTTCTCCTTCTGCCCCTCACCTTGCTCATGCTCTCTCTAATAAAATCTTTTTTTTAAAGATTTTATTTATTCATTTGAGAGAGCGAGAATGAGAGAGAGAGAGAGAGCACATGAGAGGGGGGAGGGTCAGAGGGAGAAGCAGACTCCCTGCTGAGCAGGGAGCCCGATGTGGGACTCGATCCCGGGACTCCAGGATCATGACCTGAGCCGAAGGCAGTCGCTTAACCAACTGAGCCACCCAGGCGCCCTCTCTAATAAAATCTTTAAAAAAAAAGATCTCTGTGCCTGAAATGGGGACAAAGCCCAAATATGTATTTCTTATTATAAATCACAATATCACAAGTTGTATGTCCCGATTTCTGAAAAACCTGTAGCTCAGAATCTAGTACCAAAAGGCCAAGTGCCCACCTCCTTTCCATATGTAGTGGTCCCTCTGGACCTGTCCAGACCTCTCTCTACCCTACACCGTCTGATGGCGACATAGTGCAAGCCACAGAGGTCCTTTTAAAATTTCTAGTAGCCACATTTTTTAAAGGGAAAGAAAAACCGGTGAAATTAATTTCATTATATTTAACCTAATAGAGCCAAGATGGGATCATTTCAACCAGCATTCAATATATGACAAATTATTCATATTTTATGATCCTTTCTCTGTGTAAGATAATCTTTGAAACCAAGTATGCATTTTGCATGTGCAGCTGATCTCCACTCAGGCTGGCCTAGTTTCCAGTGCTCAGGAATCACATGCGATTCCTGGTGGCTATGGTCCTGCACAGCACAGGTCTGAACACTAATAACTCATGTTTTCTCTGGAGTAAGAGGGAATCTGAATATCATAGACCATGAGAATCCCCAGAGTCCAAGACTATGCAAAATTGGAGTGGATGAGCATATTTGGGGCATGGTCCCTTTTGAAGATGATCTCAAAATGTCTCCCACATTTTTAGACGAAGCTTTATACTAAAGTTGGGGATGAAATCAGAAATGCAGAAAACTTTCCCACATATTTCCTAATATCACTTCCTCAAAGTACATAGGTGGCAAATAACTAGGCACTTGAAAAATGGATTTTCCTGCATCCCTTTCTGCAAGCAGGTTGTACTGGGATCCTTTGCTAAAATCTAGAGGTATCTAGGGGTGCCTGGGTGGCTCAGTCAGTTGAGCTTTGGGCTCTTGGTTTCTGTTCAGATCATGATTCCCTGGGTGTGAGATGCAGCCCCACTAGGGGCTCCCCACTCAGCATGGAGTAGGCTTCAGATTCTCTCTCCCTCTCCTTCCCCCTCTGCCCCTACCCACCCCCTATGACTCATGCATGCTCTCTCTCTCAAATAAATAAAATCTTTAAAAAAAATCTGGAGGCATCCACTTTCATAGCTAACACCAGCCCCCAAATGGCTTAAGTATGACAAGGAAAATCGAGGTAATTTGGATTTGCATCCCAAATGGAAGGGGAATCACATGGAAGGAGAAGGAGTAAGAAATCTGCGTGTGGCCCGTTTGGATTGTCACAGAACAGGACAAGTCCCCTGGACAAGATAAGGTCAACACCTGCTCTTCCTACATCTTCTATAATATTCACTATCCTCTGTATTATGGGTACTGACAAAAACATCACCTTTAAGTATTCATGATATTGCACTGGAATCATATGCCATGGCCATTTCTGTAAGTCAGAAAAATGCTCAAACATCAGTACTTTTCCTGTGAATGCTTTCTTCACAAAAAGAAATATTAGATTCCTATGGGACAAGGGTCAGCAAACCATCACCTTTAGGCCAAATCCAGACCAGTGCTTGTTCTTATATGGCCCATGAGCTAAGAATGGTTTTCACAGTTCTTACATGGCTAAAAACAATCAAGATTTCGTGGCACATGAAGATAACATGAAATTCAAATTTCTATGGCTATAAATCAAGTTTTATTGGAACACAGAGATGCCTATCAGTCTGAGGAATGCCTGGGGTTGCTGTTACATGGCAGTGCAGAGTCGGTGAGTTCAGAGAGAGACCAAATGCCCATAGAACTGAGAACAGTAATTACCTGGCCCTTTATAGAAAACGTTTGCTTTTCCCTGACATAAAGCATTGGACATCACATGCTTGCTAATAAGACTTCCTTAACAAACCTACCTTAAACTGTATTTGAGTCCTCCTATGATGTTTTAGAATTACCTTGAAGAGCCAAAATCCCAGAGCAGAAGGGTGGGTAGATCCAGGTCATTGTAATGTACTAAGCCACAGCACTCCAAACATGGACCCTCTTGGTGGTGGTTGATCAGTGTAGCAGGCCCTTGAAGTGTCCCCTTTAGTCTTCCCCAGAGGGGATTCCTATGCATACAAATAACTATCTTTCTGTAAGAGGGCATTTTCTGCAGCCTGTGGAGGGCAAACCCAAAATATTTGGGAGTTATGCTGGACTGGCTATCTAGTAGCAAGGGATGAGGACCGAGGGTAAATAGCTCAGCCTCCTTACCCTGCTAAGGCACATAAGGTATTCTCTCTTGGAGGTGCCCCAACAGGATTGAGTGCCACTTACCCACAGGGTAACGCCTCATTAACACACCCCATCTGCTCTTGTCTCTTCCTGATCTGGCATTTTCCACTCCTGCCCTTGTGCCTCCTGGGATCCCTTCCCAAATAAACTACTTACATCCAAGTCTCTCTCCGTTCTGCTTGGGGAGAGCAACTAAGAGACTCAGTGTGAGAGTTTCTAATAGGACAGGTGCACACAGTCATTTCTGCACAAAGTGCCAAACTGGGGGGAGCAACCCAAACTAGGATGCAGGGGTCATGGGCAGAAGAGAGAATTCTTTGTCATACTCACCTGAGAGCAGGGGCAGGCACCTGCTTCCCATAGCACTGAGATACCAGGAGCACCAATCTGAGAAGCGCTCTGAAGCAGGATGTGGCAAGGATGTCTGGAATGAAGAAGCCCCATGAAAGTCAATTTCGAATGGTCACTGACTTCAGAGGCCAGGTGGCCGATGCTTCTCAAAACCCTTTAATTTCTGCCCATCTTTTGACCTGACAATCCCACTTTCTGGGAAATTATCTCAAGGAAAAGATGATCGAAGGAGAGTAGATTATAGGAAACAAGCTTACAACCCAACAAATGTGGAACAAATATCCTGCTGGAATTTAAACTCCCAGTCTGTTGCAACCAGCAAGATTTGGACTGTAAGAGAAATTCCACAGGACAAACTATCCAATTTCTTCACCCTCCTCAAAAAATTTAAGGGGTGAAAAACATAGGGGAGACCTAGATTTAAAAAGACTTAGAAATACATCAACCAACTGCAGTGTCTTACTGGATCCCAAATCAAACATAATTTTTTTAAATGTTTGAAGCCTGGCAATGTGACAACATTAAAGAATGGTTGTTCCTTCTCGTGAATATGATAATTCAACCTCCAGTTCCTTATCTGTCAACTTAGACGGTTGCTCCAGAGGAAGCTGTAGGTATGATAAAGTGGCTATATACAGAGTCCTGATATTTTGGATTTACACACTAAAATTTTGCAGGCAAATCATATGATATGTAGAAACTATGTCAAAATAATTGGAATGAGGGAATGGTTTGGGGAGTAAGTGGGAATAAATTTGATCCAAGTTTGGGCAGGTGTTGATCATTGCTAAAACCGGGTGAAGGGTCTATGGGGTCCCCGATGCCATTGTCACTGCATTTGTGTATGTTTGAGAAGTCCCATAATAAAAAAGGGGAAATTATCTTAAAGATATATTGTTCATTAAGTAGATAGGTAGATACCAAGGGGCAGAAGCATGTATGCTAGCACTTGTGTAAGATGGGGAGATAATAAGGAAGACTTCAGCACACTATACACAATTAGAAATATGCATACATATATTTATAATATATTTATACAACAGGGAAACTGCAAAATGTGAGCTATTCTCTATACAGTTATGTGTGTGTCCTTACACCTACACAAGGTCATACATATCCAACATATACACGCCTACAAATGTGTGTGCACAAACACATAAATGCATATTATGATTTTGCATTTGCATAAAATATTCCTGGAAACTGCCCAAGAAACTCCTAATACCTGTTGCCTTTGAAAACTGAGCCACTGGGAAGCAGGAGCAAGGAGATTTTTCACATTTCACTTCTTGATGCCATTTGAATTTTGAAGGAAGTGAAGGCATTTCATATTCAAAACCTAAGTCCCTTCTTGGAGAAACAATGGAAGTGCTGCAAATCACTAAAAATGAGACTGTCAAAGACTTTAAGTTGTTAGTGTTTGCTCTGTGAATATCATTTTGAAATGTAAAAAGCACCATTCTCAGGTAATGCCATGAGCAATTAAGATTTAGGACAAAACCTCCAGTGCACATTAGCAAAGACTATACGCCCTGCAAATCTGTTAAACCATCAAATGTGGTGCCAGTGAAGACAAAGGCACCAATGGGGAAGATATAGCTAAAGAATTTGAAGAAAATAGTTTCATAAAATGTAAGTGGGAGCATTTAAAGATAAGATGCTTTCTGGGCGCCTGGGTGGCTCAGTTGGTTAAGCGACTGCCTTCGGCTCAGGTCATGATCCTGGAGTCCCGGGATCGAGTCCCACATCGGGCTCCCTGCTCAGCAGGGAGTCTGCTTCTCCCTCTGACCCTCCCCCCTCTCATGTGCTCTTTCTCTCTCATTCTCGCTCTCTCAAATAAATAAATAAAATCTTTAAAAAAAATAAAGATAAGATGCTTTCTTACATAAAATGTAAGAAAAGGAGCATTTAAAGATGTGTAACACAAATAATTAGATATTATAAATAAAAATCATGCTGTAGGAGGCTACTAACATAACATGGAAGGTGATTGTAATCCAGCATTAGGATAAAGGCAGGTAATAGAGCAAAATATGTGATCTCACATTTAAAGGAGATTCTATAAATGTTAATAGAAGAGTGGCATTGTGAAGATGTCCATCGACAGATGAATGGATAAAGAAGATGTGGTATATATATACAATGGAATATTATGCAGCCATCAAAAGCAATGAGATCTTGCCATTTGCAACGACGTGGATGGAACTGGAGGGTGTTATGCTGAGTGAAATAAGTCAATCAGAGGAAGACATGTATCATATGACCTCATTGATATGAGGAATTCTTAATCTCAGGAAACAAACTGAGGGTTGCTGGAGTGGTGGTGGGGTGGGAGGGATGGGGTGGCTGGGTGATGGACATTTGGGAGGGTATGGGCTACGGTGAATGCTGTGAATTGTGCAAGACTGTTAAATCACAGATCTGTACCTCTGAAACAAATAATGCAATATATGTTAAGAAAAAAAAAAGAAGAAGAAGATAGCAGGAGGGGAAGAATGAAGGGGAGTAAATCGGAGGGGGAGATGAACCATGAGAGTCGATGGACTCTGAAAAACAAAGTGAGGGTTCTAGAGGGGAGAGGGGTGTGGGGATGGGTTAGCCTGGTGATGGGTATTAAAGAGGGCATGTTCTGCGTGGAGCACTGGGTGTTATGCACAAATAATGAATCATGGAACACTACATCAAAAACTAATGATGTAATGTATGGTGATTAACATAACAATAAAAAAATTAAAAAATAAAAAAAATTTAGTACTTTGGAAAAAAAAGAAGAGTGGCATTGTGAGTGACTTAAATTTCTTTTTATTTAACTAGCTCTACATTTTATACATTACTATAGCAATAAGAAAATAATAACAATGATGAAGTATTTTCACAGAAGAGGAAACAAAAGGGTTGAAAAATGGATTCTCTTGGCAGGTCCTTCCCTTCTCCATGCTCGTGCTTTGATATGTAGATTCTGCTTTGATTTCTGAGTTTGGAATCTTTAGGGGTCTGCTTGTGGGGCAATTCTCTCAACACTTCACCCACAGTTAGCTGTTGGCGATAGGCAGTGAGATGAGAACATAACTCAGTACCCAGGAAAACCTGAGTTTGGATTGCAAATCGGCAGCTACTATTTCAATCATTCTGAGGTGGTGACTTTGTCTCTAGGCCTGTTTTCTCATCTGCAAAATGATGCTAAGAAAGAGCATATACTTCCCAATAATGTTGTGTTGATGCAATGAAGATGACTTTCCATAGCATGTGGGCACCTGCCTGGCATGTGACAAGTGCTGAATAGAGTTAACTGTTATGGGAACAGGATATGATGATGATGGTGGTGATGGACATGATGGTGATGGTGAAGATGGAAGTGATGGCAATGATGGTGATGACAATAATAGTGAAAATAGTATAAATGGTAGTAGTGACAGTGCAGGGAGTGGTTTTGGTGATGACAGTGATAGTGGTGAAGATGGTGGAAGTGATGATAACATCATGATGTTGATGACGGTAGTGCTTATGGTGATGGTGGTGGTGGAGGTGGTGGCGATGGTGGTTCTACTGATGGTAGAGATGGTGGTTATAGTGGTGGTGATGGTGGTTCTACTGATGGTGGAGATGGTGGTTATGGTGGTGGTGATGGTGGTTCTACTGATGGTGGAGATGGTGGTGATGGTGGTGGTGATGGTGGAGATAGTAGTTACAGTGATGACAGTGATGGTGATGACAGTGGTGGCCATGGAGATCTCCCATTCTTCTTTCCTGACTCCAGTTATAACCATGACTTTGTGTGTTGAGGACTGACTGATCCATTATCAAGTGATGATGAGAATTAACAGGGTCCTGTGAAACTCCCCCCAAAACAAAGTAGTGGCCTGAGAAATCCCATCCCAGAAAAATCTCTTACTCCCAATGGCCTGAACAGGCTAGTCACACATTATGTATTGGCATCTAGCACGTAAATCAAATTTTGCTACAGATACTTTTCTTAGCCTTCTATTCTCACTTCCTAAAAACATTCATGGACCTTCTATGGTGGGCCAAGTCCCTTACTAAGTGCTTTGACACTATTGTTTCATTGAAAGCTCACAATCACCTTATTAATGTAGATTGAATAATATCTTCCCACTTTTCAAATGATGAAATTGAGACTCAAAGAAATTCTATCACTTGCTCCAGGTGATGCTGCTAGCAAAAGGCAAAGCTAAGATTTGGAAAAGTCAGGCTGGATCCAAAGCCTGCTTATAACCCTTGGACCAAGATCCTAAGCCCCAATGCCTCTTAGGTGTAAAACTGTAATAAGGATAAGGGCAAGGCCATTTTGGGGAAGCAAGGAGGACTGTGGAGAACTGAAAATGCTGGGCTCTATCTAGAGATACTCAATTCCACTTTTTCCCCAAATGCAGAACCAGTGGGCCAGGAGCTTGCAATCTCTGCAATGGACAATACTGCCTAATTGCAAATCAAAATCTGTACGTGGGCATCTCTGAGGACTTACACTTGGTCATTTCCTGGATGCACTCTCTTCTCTCAGCATACATTTCCCTGTTTTGATTCTTGATCCTCTTCTCTTCCAAAAACCTATTATAGAATATACTGCAAAGAAATTGTGCCCAGGGACACCTGGCTGGTTCAGTAGGTAGAATATGTGACTCTTGATCTCAGGGTAGTGAGTTAAAGCCCCATGCTGGGTATAGAGATTACTTTAAAGGAATTTTTTTAAAAAAATTGTGTCTAGATGAGGATGATTCAGAGGCCTCTTTAGAAACTGGTTTAACTAAAGTGAGTATTTTACATGAAAGAGGTGATAATGTTTTTCAGAACTGCTGAGACCTTTAGCAATGCTGATTTGGTCTTTTAGCTTTTTAAAATTATTGAGGTATGATTGGCATGTAAAAAGCTGTACATGTTCAATGTGTACAACTCGATGAGTTTGGACATAAGTACACACCCATGAAACCATCACCACCATCAAGATCATAAAGATATCCATCATCTCCCAAAGTTTCCTCTGCTCCTCTGTGGTTAGTTGTGTGTGTGTGTGCAGTAAGAACATTTAACGTAAGATCTACCCTTTC